GCAGGGGGTGGGGTTTTGGGGGGGGGGGTTAGAATTAGTGGTAGGGGATGGAGGAGCTGGGAGGGGGGAGGGTTGAGTTTGGGTGTGTACCTGGTTGCTCTGAAAATGTGCACAGGCTAGACTTCTCAGGACAGACTTTGGGATAATTCAAAATTACGTTTCACCACCTCCTTTTAACCCTAAAGCTTGATGCTGACATCAGGCAGAGCGGGACAAGTGACTTTCTTAGAGCTATAACAAGTGACCACAAGCTTGGTGCTTAAAAATATCAGAAACTTATTCTCTTACAGACCTGGAGGGCAGAAGTATGCCCCTCTGAAAGATCTGGGGGAGAATTCTTGTTGCCTGCTCTTTCTGGTGGCTTCTGTCATTCCTAGGCTTGTGGCTGCATCATCTTATCTCTGTCCTGTCTTCTCTTGCTTATTAGGGTCTTCTCTAGACACAAAACTCACCAAGGACAACCGTTACTGGATACTGGGTGCTCTTTGAGACTCTCACCTTAATGACCCTTGCAAAGACTCCTTCCAAATAGGCCCTGTTCTGAGACTGCAGGGGACATGTATAGGTCACAGTGAAGGGCTATGCAGCAAGCAGCCTGTCCCATTTAGGACAGATAAAGAGGTGTTTATTGCTTTGTTTCACAACAGCAAGATTTTTGAGGACTTTTGAGGGACGTGCCAGCTGCTCACCCTCATCAGCTCAGATTTTTTCTTTTCATTGTGATGTTTTTCACCTTTCTTTCTTTCTTTCCTTTTCTTTCTATACTGCTCAAATGCTTTAGGTATCCAGAAAACACTCTTATTTGCTCCCCTCTTGAAGTGAGATTGTGCCAGAGAGCTTAGCAACCAGGGGCAGAATTGAAGTTGTCCAAAGGGTCCAGTTTGCCTTCTGGAGGATGCAGGGCTTAACCTTAGGAAGAACACAAATGTTTCAGAACCCCATGACTTTTACGTCATAAAATAGCTCCCTCCTAGAGGAAAACACCAGGCTGGTCCCTTGTGGAGAGAGTGGCAGCTGCCATGTCAGGGGCTGACAGAGCATCAGCCTGCAGCTGGTGTTAAGAGGAGTGGAGCTAGCCCAGGGGGTCGGAACTGGTTCATGGGCCCATGCTGGCCCACCCCAGAGAGGATAGATTAAGCTGCCAAGACAGGCTGGGGACACACTAGGACACACACACTAGAGGGCTGCTTTTAAGAGTGTGAGAATGAGGAAGGAGATTGCTTTTGTCTGTCCTGCTCATCAGCTTGGTATGTAGCCACCTGTCCCTGGTGTCTGATAAAACTCAATGACCTTGCTTTGGTCTAGGAGGTTCTTTTCCCCAACATTTCCTGCATGACTTTCCTCTTTTTCTGGGGAAAGGCTGGTACTTGGGTGAGACTCACCTTAGTGTGTTCTTAGGAGGAAACTTAACCCCATAGATAGCATCACAGTATAGAAAAGGGCTCAGTGCCTGCTTTACCTGGAGAAGGTGAGGGGCATGGAGTGTTGGGAAGGTAGGGGTAGGGCCGAGGCTCAGTTGGGTTCTGGCTTCACTACAGCCTTTCTTCCCTTTCTACATTGTAGTGTGATGATATGGCTGGTGGCCTCTGGTCCTCACAGGCTATCTTGGCGATGGAGGAGCTGACAGATAGTCAGCAGCAGGACCTTACAGCCTTCCTGAAGCTGGTGGGGTGCAGGGTACAGGGTGAGCGTCCTGGCCCGCAGGATGAGGTCAGCAACCAGAAGCTCTTTGCAACAGCCTACTTCCTGGTCAGTGCACTAGCAGGTATGGAAACCAAGACAAAAAAGAACAGGGCAACGTCTGCCATGGCTGGGAAATGGGACACAGAGGCAATGATGACCAAGGACCTGCCCCCACGATACACTGGTACAACAGCGGCACAAAGCTTGGTTGGGGGTAGAAACCAACCAATACCTGACTGGATTTAAGGCCCACTCCAAGAAAAGGCCCACTTCAGTCCTGAGAAAAGGAGCTGCAAGGCCAGGGGAGAGTCCTGTCACTCTGAGGGTATGTCTGTCCTACTCAGGGAAGACTACCTCCTGGTTCCCTCACTGAAAGTCCCTTTCAAGAGAACAGCCTGTGACCCACACCAGGGTCCAGAGACAGTGCAGTGTAGTGGGCACTTTCCCTTGGCAGCTGTTTGTCCTGCTCCTCTCCTTCCTCTTTGTATACCTGTGGCTCACTTCATGGTATTCTCAGGGTTTAGAGTATGTGGTGTGTGTGATACACAAGGCCAGGAGGCAGGCTATGGCTGGGTTTCTGCATAGGTCTTGAAATGGCTTCCCAGGGGGAGTGGATTTTGGTTACTGTTACATGGGGCCCACCATGCAGGAAGGCCTGGTGGTGCCCTCTGACACAGCTGTAGCCACATCCCATCCCCAGAGGCCCAAATTCCCTCCAATGCATGCTAATAGACACTGGGGTCCTGATACACGGGGGATCTCTCCCAGCACTACAGAGGGAAAGGCCCAAGGAACCTTCACTGTTTAAAAAATGAATCAGAAACCATGTTCCAGCTTGATGTGCTGACGGGTAAACCCCGTGTCTTGCTCTAAGCCACAGATAAAAGCATTGAGTGGTCGACTGGGACCAGATACAAGACATAGGCTCCATGAAACTCCACCTGGAGCCTGGACCCATTTTAACAGTGAACATGCTTGAGTACAGGCTCTCAAAGAACCCTTCTCATATATCCTCTACTACTTAAATATTGTTATGTAGAGTAGCTCATGGCTGGCGGAGTATACCACAATCCTATTCTCCCTGACCTAGCCGAAGCTCTGCAGCTGAGCACAGGTGGTCACAACACAAAACTTGTTCCCATTTGGAAGTTGGATGCAGGGAAATTTTTAGATGTAGCCAGCCTCTATATCAATCCTGCCCTTTCCATCTGAGCTGGAATCTCATTATAGCAGCCACAGCAGAGGGTGGCTAATTTAAAGATCTTTTGGTAGTATTCTGGTTAGTCTTGGATTCTTCCTTGGCCAACTTTTCTTAGACAGCATGGCATCCTAAGATCTGGGGATAGTGTTGGAATAGAAAGTGGTCCTCTTGGGCCCTGACAGCAGTATTTGGCTTTATCCTGCTTAGCTGCTTCCAGAACTGCAGTCGACTGTCTCCAAGAAAGCTTCCTCTGCCTGTGTGACCATGAGCAAATCCTAGCTCTCAATACCACAGAACTGTAACTGAATCACCTTTTTCAGACTTGCTGGGCAGCTTTACACTGTCTTCCAGGCAGTTAGGGGAGGGCAGCACGTGTCTGGCCTAGGACATGCATCAGGGCGAGAGCTATCTTTGTGCTGTGATCACAGTTCTGGGTAAGCATCTCTAGGGATGAGGTTACAGGCATGCATTACCATGCTTGGCTCCCACAAACTGGTTTTTGACAATGACCATGACCACGATGCATGTCTTCTACAGAAATGCCAGATAATGCCACAGTTCTTCTGGGGACTTGCTGTAAACTCCACATTATCCATGTGCTGTGCCACCTGGTAAGGAACCTTTAGATGGGACAGTGGGGTAGAAATGAATGGGGGAAGATGAGGGATGAATGCTATCCACTGGAAAAACACCTCCATTTTCTCGGCTTGAGACAGTATAAAGCACATGTCATCATTAACACATGGGTACTGGGGGATGGCTAGCAAAGCAGCCCAGTGTGCAGACTCCAAATTATGTTCTTTCCCCAGTTTGGAGACTTTTGGCCATAGCTCGGTTACTGAGAGATCCAATACCCTGTTGTTAGTCACTGCTGTGTGTAGAATGGTTTAAAGCTGCTTTGTGTCAGATTTCAGGATGCACTCAGGGCTGCTGTCTGGAGGAGACACAGCTTCTTCCATCCTCTTATCAGTAGCTTGGTGCGTGTTCTCTGGAAATACCACTGCAAGAGCAAGTGACCAGTAATGAATCCAGCCACAGAATGGAGCTAAGTTCTCAAGTTAGAGAGGGCAGTTAGCAGAGGGACTAGCAATAGGCTGCTCCAGATTGTCCAGAGGCAGCTTCCACAGCCTGTGTTGGTGGAAGGCATCCCTGGGACACTTATTTTAAGGTCTGGTTTAGGTCCAGGCCCCACTGTTACCCCATAGAGCAATGCCCAGACTGCCTAGGCAGGCCTACCTGCATTCTGCATGTCTTCTGAGAATACCAAACCATGTAGGTGGTCTTGGATGTTGTTTTGCAAGGAGGATGTGTCAGAAGCCAAGACCACTAGGTATTTTATCACACAGCTGGGCGGTGCCATCAGAATTGACCATAGATTCTGTGCCTAAGTGGATATTCAACTACTTGGAAACATGCCACTATATCTCAGACCAGCTGAGGGTGATGGCTGTTAATGTAGTTTGATTATATAAATGATGTAATTGTCCTAATTGTACGAGATGATGAGTGAAACAGCTCTGTTGCCTCTTGCAGCAGTGAGTGCTCAGCACTTCCAAAGTCTGTTTCTTGAGTATGTAGGGACTAATTAAATCCATTGAGGAGGTACACCAAGAGGAAACTTGTGCTAAGGGAGCCAAGCCCTAATGAACTCACTTAGCACCCCTTTAGTCAGCTCTGACTCTGACCTTGGCCGATGTTCACGACCAGCCATGAACCAGTTCCAAAATGGATGGACTCCTGCTGTGTGCAGATGCACCTTGCCTGTCTTTTGGAGGCTGCTCAGCAGACAAAACAGGCTTCTTTAAAGGAAGATCTTCCTAGGAGCCCTCAGGTAATCTCTGTCGATTTCTGGCTGTTGCTCTTTAGAAAAGCCAGGCTCCTGCAAGAGTGGAGCATTGTGTACTTCTTAAAGTGACTTACCTAGAAAAGGGTACACAATCTATCCACACTCCTGTTTGAAGGCCCATGTAACTCTCAAAGTCTTCTTTAAGAGTTTTGAGTTTTGGGCAAACAGCGTCCGATATACTAACCATGTGCTGTGTACTGGTAAGAGGGGTAGGTTTGAATTAGTAGAGAAATCTAGAAAATATTCCCGGTCAGAGGACATAGAAGAGCAAGGGCGAAGGTTCTTGAAGCAGGAAACACAATGAATGAATGACAGTACCTACACTTGAGTTCATCCAAGTGTATATCCAAGAAATTCTAACATTCCCGTTTACATTAGTAAACAAACAACTGAGGGCCAAGTGGTGGTAGTGGTGCATGCATGCTTTCCCCCCCCCCCCCAGCAAAGAAAAACTGTATATTATAGAACTCTAGAAATCAGCAAAAAAGTGTCTACAACATTAAACAATGTGGGATGCACCTGTTGTATGTGCCCTGCCCTTCACTAACCTGACGTTGCCTGGGGAAAGAGTGGAAAATGGCTGTAGCCCTCACCATTCTGCCAGTTTGCAAATGTAACTGCCCAAGCCAGAGTACTTACAGATTTATGTCTACTTTGATGAACTGGCTTGTGTAAACAAGGCTCCAAAGAAGGTGGACCTAACCTTATTATAGACCTCGGGTCCTTTGCCCACACTGGGTGCAAGGCAATGCTGTCAGTATTTTGCTACTTCAGCCTCTGAAGTTCCATAGCCATATGCACAGGAGCCATTTCCTCCTCTCTCTACAATTTTGACGCTGTGGGGCTGTAGCTGCACTGTGAAGCCCTAGATTCACTCATCTATCAGGAGCTGGCCAAGTACTCAGTTAGGTCCTGCAGCTCCAGGAATCCATCGATCAGGGCCCCAACTGCCAGTGACATCTGCACCCACCCACAGTGGGAACTAGGGAACTTTTTGTGCCTACAGTTTTGGAACTGTAGCTGCTGGTGCAAAAAGCTTCAGCAACATTCAGGCTTATAGACGGGATCACATCTGTGATCTTCAGTTTCATGGCAAACAATGCCACAAGTATTGGCCTCTCCATTGCTTACTCTGTGCATGATCTAGGTATAATTCTACCCTGGCCTTGCAGCCACAGACACTGAAAGGACAGGCTTGTATATCACTCACATTAACCTGTGGCACAAAGGGGAATTCTCTCCCCTGCCCTGCACCTTGAAGCATGGAAACCAAAACTACTGGGAAGACCCAAGGAACTTGTCTTCCACAGTCCAATGACTTTGGGCTAGGATTGCTAGTACTGAATAAAACTTGTGCTTATCTCTAGAATCCTGGAGGAAGTACTGTCTGGATCCCACACCTATAAAGCTATAAAGCCCCAGCAACTTTAATCACCTCCATGGGATTAGGGAAGAGCTCCTTTATATTTTAAAACCTTAAATCCCATGGTTACCAGAGATTTTTATCTGGCAAGAACAGGAGAAAAGGGGCTGGTTCCATCCTGTAGCTCTAGAATTACTACAGACCCAAGCATCTCCTACAACTCTTGGTATAATCTATGTTCAACTGGATAGTTCCTTCTACATCTCATACCAATGAGTCCATAGCAGCTGAATATACTTGGAAGTCTGTGCTCTTGGCAAAGCCCTACAGATACCTTTATGAACTACTGTGGTCAGGATTGTTGCTGTACCCAGAACCAAATGAGGCATTGCATAGCAGCTATACCTTTGAGCTCATGTGTAACTAAAGCCACAGCTGACACTCAAATGAACAAAAATTCCTACAGAAAGTGCCTCAAAATATTGGAGGTTCCACAGATGTACAGGATACAGAGAACAAGCCAGCTCCAAAGAGAATAGCTGTTCTCTAAAAATAATCTCTGAGAAGGAAGTCCGAAGAGCGTTTACAGCAATGATCCCACATAAACATGAATAAGCTCCAAGAAGAAAGCAATTCAAGATATAAATGAGAAATTAAGTAGAAAGACTCTTAATTCTGGAGTTAACATATCCAGCCAGTGCAGTAAGACACACAATGCTCTGACCACAGGCAGGAGCAGTACCAGGAAAGACTGCAGAACCTAAGGACAATGCTTCCAATGACTTCAGTAAGACATAAGACTGGTGTGTGTAACAGGGGAAGCTATAAGGTATCTGGGACAGAATTATGTGAGCAAGTATCTGCACTGTGGGGATTCCAGATTGGGAAGGAAAAAAAGGCATTTAAAAGCTAGCTTCATGAAATAATAACTGAAAACTTCCCAAATCTTCAAAGAGATACAGATCTACACACAAGAAACTTAAAAGACCCCAACTAAACTAATAAGCAGAGTATGACCAAGGCATATTACAGTCAACACATAAAAACTATAAGACAAGGACAGAATCAGAGAGAAGAAAAAACAAACCTAGTCACACAAGGAATGCCCATGGATGTAAGAGGACAGCACGGGATGCTGTTAATACTGAGAAAGCTCCTGTCAGCCAGGAAACCATAGCCTTTAAAAGTGAAGAGGACACAGATGGACTCACACAAGCAGAAACCGAGGGAATTCATGACACCAGATCAGCACTGCAGAAATACTAATGGGAACAGACACCACACTAGAAACATTAGGTGCCATTATCAAAGTATGTGAATATGCAAACCCCAGTAGCAAAACAGATACATGAAAAGAAGGAGTGACACCAAATCCTCAGCATGTCAGACTATTATGAAATCACAAAAATAAGTGACAGGTGAACAAATCTGTACAAAGAAATAGAGCAACATAATGATATGTACATAAATTAAATTCACCAACTAATAGACTCTAGCTGAACAAATAATTAAAAAAAACAGTAAAGAGCTGGGCATGGTGGTGAATGCTTGTAATTCTAGAAACATACATGGAGGCATTTTCAACTACACAGAAAGCTTAAGGGAAGTCTGGGCTACATGAGAACCTGTCTTAGGAAAGAAAAGAAAAACGAAACAAAACAAAACATACCATTCACCACTATATGCTATCCACTTACTGATATATGTGGTGGTTTTAACAGCAATGGCCCTGTAGATTGACTCATGTGTTTGAATGCTTGACCCATAGCAGTGTATCACTTTAGGGATAGGTTTTGAGGTCTCAAATGCTCAGGTCAGGCTCAATGGTATGAAGTTCTTTTCCTGCTGCCTGTGGATCAAGATGCAGAACTCTCAGCTCTTCTCCAGCACCATGTCTGCCTGCATACTATCATGTCCCACCGTGATAATAATGGACTAAACCTCTGAAACTTTAACCAGCCCCAATTAAATGTTTTCCTTTCTAAGAGTTGCCATGGTCATGGTGTCTCTTCACAGCAATAGAAACCCTTGCTAAGCAGTGTATTAAAAGAAACAAGGGGCGGGGGAAAGTAAGCATCCAAATGGAAACCAAAAGCAAGCAGGACTTACACTCATATTCATAGGGTAAGATGGACTTCAAATAAAAAACTGGAGAATGCAACCACTATATATTCATAAATAAATCAGTTCACCAACCGGATGCAGAAGTGCAAACATATATGGCTCTAATGTTACCAATCCAATAGCCACAACAACTGTAGATATGAAAGCAGGGGGATGGATAGAGGTGCAGCCAGGGACTTCCCTTCTTTTCCCACTGTGGGCAACACACTGTTAACAGTTACAGGGCAGCAGCAGAAAACTCATTACAACATGTACTACTCAAAAGACTACAGTATGTT